GGCCAGCGGCGCGGCAGCGGCAGGGCCTGACGCAGCCCCGGGCGCAGCGTGATGCAACGCCCTGCAATCGGGGCCGGAGGGGACCTGGGGGTGCTGGGGCATTGCCAGGGGCCCGTGCGTCCGCAGCGTGTCCGTCCAGCTGTCCCACGTCACAGACCTTTGCTGGGAACATCTTGTGTCTCATCACTCGTGTTCAGCAGCGGTGGGGAGCGCTTCACCCCGTGTCCCACCACGATCCTTCCCTGGGGCACCACGAGCCGCTTCAGCTGCTGAGAGGGCAGCCTGAGCCAAAAGCCATGGCTCAGGGTGACCACAGACCTGCCCTGGGTGCCCACCATCTTCTGCAGGAGACACAGATCCCGTCCTTCAGCTCCAGCCATGGACATCACCAGAGGGACATCACCTCCTCTGCGCTCCTCACCGCCCTGGGAACCAGCGTCCCTCCATTCCTCATGGTTCCACGCCTGGCTCTGCCATCAAGCACCAACACAGAGGAGCTCCAAAGGCGGGTTGGAGACCCCATGTCCATCTTGCAGCTCCACTTCTCCCCCAGCCTGTGCTGTCGCTCCCCAGCTTGCAGTGGGGGTGCAATGGGGATGGCTCAGGTGTCTCCCGATGTCCCCCCTGGGCTCCACTCTCTCTGGACAGGACAGAACCTGGCCAGGGCTGAGGGACACCACGAGCCCTGACGTTGGCTGGGAGGAGCTGTGTTTGCCCACGTGCTGGGGCACTCGGTGCTCAGCAAACTCTGTCGTAGATGCCATGGTGGCTCTTCCCAGAAAAGTGAGGAGTTTGGGCCCAGCAGGGAATTCACCTGGAGGAACATGGCAGCAGGGCAGAGCGGGGCTGGTGCCCAGCCCACGGGAGGTGCAATGAGATCCTCGGGTCCCAGCAGCCGCAGACTCCGTGTTTGGGCAAACCTTCCCTGGACCCACCATCCTCCTGAGGAGCCTGTTCCTTGCCATGGCTCAGAGGGAAGAAAATGCCACCGCTCCTGTGTCCCCAGGTGTCTCCGTCTTGTCCCCAGCACCACCTGTTGTCGGATCCCCCGATGTCTCTGCCCCCTCTGACACCCCCAGGACTGTCCCTGTCCTCGCTCAACCCCCCTCAGCACCCTGTCAGGTGTGGGGTGGCCCTTGATCCAGCCTCCAGCCGCCCCCTCCAGAGCCCCTGGCTCCCGGCTGGCTGCTCGGGCACAGGCAGCTGGAGACCCTGTCCCTGTCACCTGTGCTCGGGGAGGACAAGCCAAAGCCAGCGTGGACTCACCAGCCGGGAGAAATGGCCTGGTCAGGTGAGAGGAGATGGGAACCTCCAGTGTAACCTGCTCCTGGACACAGGTTGGGGGTTCCAGGGGCGGTTCCTCTCCAGAGGGGCTGAGACCTGCAGCTCTGCTGTTCCTCAGGGCTGGTCCCCAGGCTCAGCCCCGCTTGGGGCAGCTCTGGGGCACAAACCCTGATGGGCAGGAGAAAGATGTGGGGAGCTGTGGGGCACAGAGCAGCACCAGCAGCGGTGGGACACCTTTGGGGAGACCTCTGAAGAGAAGCCTGAACCTGGTGACCATGTTGTGCCTGAGCTGAGGTCTCCTCCCCTCCCTCCTGGGTGCACAGCACTGGGACTCACTGTCCATCTGGCTGGTGCAGGTCTGGGCTGTGCGCTGGGTGGATCCACACTCATTTGTGCGCACAAAGCCGGCACTGGCTGGTGCTGCTGTTGCTGAGACATCAGGAAGACACTGTGTAGGATAAGGGTGGTGAGACGGTGGCACAGGTTGCCCAGAGAAGTTCTGGATGTCCTGTGGTGGGATGGGGCTCTGAGCCACCTGATCTAGTGGAAGATGTCCCTGCACATAGCAGGGGGTTTGGACTAGATGATCTCTGAAGGTCCCTTTGAACCCAAACCATCCCGGGACTTTGTGATCCTTTGTCCCTTCAAATTCCCCGTCATGGCACCGCACAGTCCCCTCCCAGCAGAGCCACTGTCCCCCTGCCCCACGCCGGGACACTCCACGAGGGCTCCAGCCAGGGAAAAGCACCACATGGACACAGTTTCCAGGAGTCATTTTATTAGCAAAGGTTGGAGAAACCGCCCTTGGAGTCCAGAGACCAGCTGGAAAAGGGCTCGGCAGTTGCCGGGACCATGGCAGGTCGGGGCCAGCGTGCGATGCCACCGCAGTCGTGACGCTCTTTGAGAATAAAGAGGAGGGCACGGGGTGTGTGGATCTTCCGATGAACCTCCCAGCGCGACCAGATGCTTCTTCCTATGAGGATAAGGCACCATCTGGGTCTCTGGTGGTCGCAGCCATCGCCACGTGAGGTTCCAGCGCTGGGCCATCAGCTGCCGCCGTGCGGGGAGAGCGAGCGGGGCTGGGGAAGAGCCCGCGATGGTCAGGGAAGGGGACATCCTCTCCTTTGTGCCACCAGCACCCATCCTGCAACGGCAGCTGTCCTTAACCCCAAAGGCCACCCCAGGGAGACACCTGGCCCAACAACCAGGTCCACAGACCCACACCCCGGGAGTCTCTGCAGGGAGGGGTGGGACGAGTCCCCTCCCTCAGCGTGGAGATGACATCTGCAGCATTGGAGGGCACAGCCCCATTTCCAGGCACTTCCCAGGTGCTCCCCAACCCCTGCAGTGGGAGGCACCTCGCTGGGGACATCGGCCACCCCTTGCCCCAGTGCCCCTGGGCTCTGCATCCCCCCAGCTCTTACCTGGTGGCCGGGACAGGGTCACCAGCTGGGCTGCCCCTCGCTGGGGCTGATCTGCTCCAGGATCTGGCTGTACCTCCGGGTGAGGGCGTTGGTGTCCCTGGTGAGGTGGGACAGGACCTGCTGCAAGCCGGCCAGGTGGTGGGACAGGCGCTCCTCCAGCTGGGAGTCCATGGTGTCATCGCCGGACGACGTGTCAGTGTTGGTGCCAGCTGAGCTCTGGTCGGTGACAGAGGCCAGGCCTTTCTCCACCATGGGCTTGATGGCCTTGAGGAGCTGGTAGCGCTCATAGAGGTCCACGTGGCCGCCCGTGGCCGCAACTGCTCCCTCCTTCTGTGGGAAGACCCCTCGCAGCAGGCTGGGGAACATCACCTCCTGCTCCATCTTCTGGGTGGCCGAGAAGTACTGCTCCATGGCTCTGCTCCCAGGGTCTGGCAGCGCTGCTCTGGGCTCTTCTCGAGGTGCCACCTGCTCCCTGTCCCTGCCGAGGGCTTTTTATGGGGACTGGGGCTCATCCCTCCT